TTTTTTTGTCGGTCATGGGGATTGAACTCTGGGTTTGGGCACTGTTCCTGCACTCTACAGCTCAAGGAGAGCGCTCTACTGTTTGAGCCAGAGTGCCACTTCCAGTTTTCTAGTGGTTTTTATTGGAGATAAGAGTCTCACAGACTTTCCTGCCAGGGCTGGCTTTGAACTGTGATCCTCAGATCTCAGCCTCCTGAGTAGCTAGGATTATAGGTGTGTGCCACCAGCACCTGACAACACCAATTTTTTAAGTTCTCTATACCTTCAATGAAAGTTTTGTCTATCATCAGTTGCTGAGAGTGAAATATTAGTCTTCTTCCACTACAATTTTATAATTTTAGTGTTAATTATAAACAGGATTAATTTCTTACATTGTCAGGTTGCTACAATTTAGAGGCTTTGTTAGTCCTTACACTATAAAGTACAGTAATTTAAAAAATACTAGTAAAAATAGTTTGAGCATGGTACCTCATACCTGTAATAGAGACTATTTAGGAGGTAGAGATCAGGAGGCTACTTGAAGCCAGCCTAGGCCAAAGGTTTGCTAGACCTCCATTTCAACCAATAATCTAGGTGAGGTGATATGGCCCTGCCATCCAGCTATGTGGAAAACACAAGTTAGAAGATCTCTGTCCTGGCCAGCCCATGGAAAATCATGAGACACTATCCAAATAATATTTAAAGCATAAATGGACAGGAATGTGTGACTCAAGTAATAGGAGCAACGCTGTACCGAGAGCAGTAAGTCCTGAATTCTTTTAAGTAACAGGTACTCTGTGTTCATTGAATTTTTTCCACTCTGAAGGTTGGAAATCTAATGACTCTTCTCAATGAAAAACACTTGGAATTTCCAATTATGTCTTTATATCCCAATGTGAATACTTTATATTTGACCACCAATTCAAGGAACCCTCAAGCTTGTTCTCTACATAGTTTATTCTCTGCTATCCTACCTTCCAAACTCCAGGATGATGATCATTTTACCTTCAATGCAGAGGGAATAGATCCATCCAATGACACCAAAGGCTAATAATTATAAAACATACTGCATAGATACTAAAATGAGTGGTTTATATTTGAAGTCCTGCTGACATTCAGATTCACATCATGGCATTTATTGGATATGTGGAAATAAAACCCAAACATACAGACATGTATCAGATGCTATTGTGCATCCCAGCTGATTCTATCACTAAGGGTTATCAATGATAGTTTTAAGAAAGCAATCTGAAAAGAAATAAGAGAATTGAGGTTCTGGGAAGGATTGAGAGACATGGAGAGAATGATGAGAGGGGTAATATTGCAAGGTTCATTGTACTCATAAACTGACATATTGACTCGAAACACCTTTACACAACTACATGAAGAAAACAGAAATTCATCAGCCAGTAAAAGAGGAATGAGGCAGTGAGAAAGAGAGCAGGGAGTATCTTACTTCAATGAAAGCAGCGATTTGGGTACAATTGGTCAGAAAAAAGAAGGCAGGAATTTGAATGGAATATTGTTATTCATAATAGAATTGTGGACTCAGAGGATCACAAAACAGAACAGAACTGAATTATGTAACAGTGGGAAAATCTGGCATATTGTAACGAGAAACAGCAGAATGCAAGATGATTCCATCACAAGTAGTCAGAATACATGATGTTTTGTTTTACATATGTGGGATTATTACATTATAATAAAGCAGACCTCAGTAACAGAAGTATAGAGGATAATGACTCTAAAGAATTATCCAAGCTGGGTGCTGGTGGCACATGCCTGTAAATCCCAACTACTCAAGAGGCTGAGAACTGAGGATGGGGCTCAAAGCCAGCCCTGGCAAGAAAGTCTGAGACTCTTTATCTCCAATTAACCACCAGAACACAATAAGTGGCACCGTGGCTCAAAATGGAAAAGCTCCAGCCTTGAGCAAAAGAGTTCAGATTCATCACCCAGGCCCTGAGGTCAAATCCCTTGACCAACACAAATAAAATAAAATAAAGAATTATCCTACTCATCAAAACAATGATACTCAGGGGAAATATTTATAACCCTACAATAGGGTTAGTTACAACACTTGGAACACGTAGAGATCCAACCTGCTTAGAGGCAGTCTGCAATGGGGACAGGATGTCCATCTTACCTATATGAGTGTTGTACTACTGTAAGAGCAATTTGATTGTGATCCTCAACGCTTACTGGTCATACTAGCAATATTTAATTTCTCTTCCAGGAAAGGAAAAGGACATGATTTGTGGCTTATAATTCAACACCAAAAATTTAAATTCAGTTTAATTTTTTTGTTCTTTGTTTCTTGGGTCTGTTGTGGGACTCTGGGCCTGGGTACTGTCCCTCAGTTCTTCAGCTCAAGGCGAGCCTCTACCTCTTGAGCTACAGCCCCACTTCCTGCTTCCCAGTGGTTTATTCGAGATAAGATTCCCACAGACTTTTCTGCCAGGTCTGGCTTTGAACTGCCATCCTCAGATCTCAGCCTCTTGAGTAGCTAGGATTACAGGTGTGAGCCATCGGCACCCAGCTCAGTTTAAATTTTATAGCCTTACAAGAATGTTTTAGTTCTAACAGTTTCAGCATGAGAAATGTGAGGAAATAGAACAAGAGAGCTTTGAAAGTTGGCTTATTTGTCTCAGTTACAGAAAATATGATTTGATATATTTTCTCAGAGAACCAAGGCTTTTTTTCACTTGATTTGTTTTAAATCCAATTAGTTTCTAAGCATTCTAAATGTATACCTGGGAAAGGAAGAATCCATGTATGAGACAAACCATGCAGAACCTTGAATACAAGCAGCACAACAGAAAGGATTATGCATGCTTCAGTGTAAAATAACAACTAAAAATTCTGAAATGAAACTGAAAATTCATAATGTTTTTGTTGTCTGCCATTAAGAAAAAAAAAAGAGTGGAAGTAACTTGTTTTACTGAGAGCCTAAATCCACATTTGAGAAAGTGCCGAGAAAGGCATTATGAAGATTGCAAAAATAAGTGTCTGGCCAAACTGTGGGCATTTGCTAAGAATTAGGTGCATGAAATGGGAGCTAAAAGGAAAGCACTTTTTAAAAAAAGTTTTCAGAGGAGAGTTGGGATAGGGAAGAAAAAAGAGGTCTTGTGGAAGCAGTAACTGAAAAGTTGGTCCCAAAGAACAGGCTGGATTTTATGAGAGGTTATTGCTTTTTTTTTTTTTTTTGGTAGGAGGAGGATTGAAGTCTGGTGTTGAGGTAGGAAAGCTGACACCAGGGTAAGAAATGTGAGCAGGATTGCAGAGACCATCTGTGAGTTCTTGGATCAAGGCTATCTCATAAACAAGTTTCAGCAAAGTCTTTTAGGACTTCATCTTTTATCCTTTAGGAGAATGGTTTTGAAGTTTTATTGACCAAGGTAAAAATACCTTTAACTGCACACACACACACATACACACACACACACACACACACACACACACACACACACATGCACACACACACACATCTACATGCAATCATATGCATGTGCACAACTACGTAAAATAAAATGGTTTCATTTTCCCTCAAAATGCACACTTACACTTACTGAAAGGCTCTCTCACATTGTGTTTCTTACACTAATTTCAGGATTCTGCATTGGCCTGAAAGAATTGCATTATATGGGGTAACAGTCAGCCATGCTGTAGTGGAATTCATGAAGGTGTCTGCATGGAGGAATAGAAGAGGGCTTCAGGAATATGAACTGTGTCTGTTATACAGGAGAGTCCAGAGGGGAAGAGACCAGGACACCCAGCCTTCTGGTTATTGTGGTCATGAAGGCAAACGTGTGAGGTATCTATGAACTTGTCAAGTGAGCAAGGCCATTGGGAAGCATGCTGAGGAAAGGTTGGAGGGTGATGACAGGGGAAATGAAAAACTGAATTAAGACATATTTAGAGGGCCAATTAAGGATTTTATAAACTTGCCTGTGGAATTGCCATTTACGTCTGAACGAATAGTGAATTAGTCATAAAATCAAATAATGTACATAAAATAATATCACTTAAAATACTTGAAATAGTACATTGAACTCTGAGTTAAATGGAATTCTTGCAAACAGTAACAATATGCAAAAATGCACAAAGACTTAGGAGAGAAAGGAAGCAATTTGCAGAGCTTCAACTACGAGCCAGAAATTAACAAATGTAACTTTATGTAATCTTTATAACTGTACAAGACAAACATTGATACCCTTATTCTATATAAGGAAACTGACATTCAAAGAGATTAAGTAGTTTTTCCAAAGTTAAACAGCTAAGTTAAATAGAACTACATTCATCAGCTGTAAAAGCTAGGGCTTTATGAAAATGCTTACAATCAATATTTTTTTAAAGGATTAGCTTCATTTTTTAAACAAAATGAATTTCAGTAAATACGCTTTTTAAACCAGCTTGTGGTGACAACGGAACTACTTATAGCCTACCTTTGGTTAATTTGCAGAAGATAAAGATTTGTGACTCGAATACCAGGTAAAGTTGCTTTTTGTTTCAAGAAAGGAAGGAAGGAAGGAAGGAAGGAAGGAAGGAGAAAGGAAGGAAGAAAGAAGGAAAGAAAGGAAGAAGGAAAGAAAGAAGGAAAGAAAGAAAGAAAGAAAGAAAGAAAGAAAGAAAGAAAGAAAGAAAGAAAGAAAGAAAGAAAGAAAGAAAGAGAGAAAGAGAGAAAGAAAGAAAGAAAGAAAGAAAGAAAGAAAGAAAGAAAGAAAGAAAGAAAGAAAGAGAGAAAGAAAGAAAGAAAGAAAGAAAGAAAATCCCCCCAAAACAAAAAAAAACCCTATTTGTTTGCAAGGGCCCTGGGGCGCCTTTGGCTTCTGCGCACGCGCACGCGCACGCGCACGCGCTCGGGTCTTACCAGCCAGCAGGGGGCAGGACCCGATTTCTGCCCGCAGCGGCTGAGCTCCAGTGTCCCTCTTCACTCAGACGTCACCGAGCTCTGGCTTGGATGTGCTTCCTTAGCAACGGGTTGTCCTGGCAACAGGAGGACGCGCGGCCGGCTAGTTCCCGGCAAGTTCGTAGCACCTGCTGGCTGAGCCCGGCGCGGGCCAGCCATGTCCGAGATCCTCTGCCAGTGGCTCAACCAGGAGCTGAGGGTGTCCCGGACCGTGAGTGAGTGACCAGGGCCGGCGGCGTGGCGCCCGGCGGGCCGTGGAAGGTGTCGGGGAGGGGGCCGGGGAGGGAGAGGGGTGCACACGTGCCAGGCCGGCCCAGCGCCAGCGCTCGCACCCCGCGCCCACGCCGGCCCCAGGGTGCCCGGCCGCCCCAGCTCACGCACCCCCCCCCCCGGCCCTTCCATCCGCCCGCGGGCCCGGCCCCCAGTTTCTTGGCGGGGGCCGGGGCTGAGGGGTGTCTTTCTGTGACTCTGGCGTCGCCTGCCTCACCCCATCAGGCCTACCGTGTTCTGGCAGGACGAGGGAATGGGAAGCTCCCGAAGGAGTCGCCTGCCAGCGAAGCTCTTGCGAAAGGAGGGGTTTGTGTGCGATCTCCTCTGTGAACGACCACCCGTCTTAGGGGTGTGAAGCTCCAGTTGCACACACCCTAGCCATTACTGGCACGGGTTACCCTGGCTCAAAGCTGGCCTTCATCATCAACTTGATGTTCTCTAGGCCTCAAGTTCCCACTGAAGGCCCCTGAATCTCACTCTCCCCAGGCAGTTTTAGATTTGATGACAGACAGCACTACCGAGCACTCTGTCACCCACTCTGTTGTTCCCTCCGGGGAGGCCTTACTTCCAGCTGCTGTTCAGGGAAGGCCACTCCTGTCTAACTGACGTAACTGCTGACTGCTAACTTGCTGCCATGGGTACAGTGGTGTCAGCTGAGCCTTAGGTGGTCTGTACAAGCAGCTGGCACTGTGGTGCATGGGATGGTGGGATGTATTTATTTTCTGCAGGAGGAAGTTAACACTAAGCATTTATCTCCAGCTGGGCATTTGGCCAAATCCCATCCACACCCTAAGAGCAGCAGTAAATGATTCCCCAGGGTTCCACTCTACTGTGATTCAGATGAATTCCCAACTGAAGTATGATGCTGACTTCAGGTCAATATTAGAGTTTTCACATTTTTTTTTCTTCTTTCATCGTGAAGTCCAAACAACAATATCTCGCCCTAAAGCTGTTCTCTGCCAAAGGAGCAGAAGTTACTAATTGCTTGATTTAATTTGATTTATTTTTTAATTAGTAAAAACACAGCCGTTGCTCAAGTGCCTAGAACTGTCTTGAAGATTACAACACTTTGGGGAGGGGAGTCAAAGACAAATAGAATTAATAAGAACCATAAAAACAATGGATTCTATTATAATTCTATAGAGTTGGGGGAATTTTGGTTTGGGGAGGGAGAAGAAGAATGACTTCATTCTTTGAAGAATGAAAGCTCCAGAGGTTTTAAAGTAAGAATTATAGCACCATAAACTATGAATGGAAAATCTCCAGCATCTGCTTTCCCAATGCATAAACCTGGAAGCAGTTAACTGAGACACTCCATCCTAATTCCTTTTCCCTTGCCAGAAATACTTATTCAACTGCTGAAAAAATGTCCAAGGAGATAATATTTGAGGGCTTTTCAAGGTACATAGAACACAGTCAACCCCCTGTTTGGAGGAAAACAAGATAGGATCTCTACCTAAGGCAGACAGTCTGCTCCAGATGTCTCCTTATTAGACCATCTCTTCTGTGCAATGGAAAACTTTGAGCAGTTTGTGGATATATCGAGAAGGTTCAGTGTGTGTACTCTGAACAAAGTAATTTGGCTATTTCTGGGTAAAGACAAGGGTTTACAGGCCAGACTAGTGGGTTGAAATATCTTACCACTTATTAATTGGTAAGCTCAGATAAGTTATTTCCCTAAATTTCATCATAATTAAAAACACCACTCAATGGTAGCGATGGGAGGGAGAGAATGAGCGGGAAAGAGGGAACAGCTGATGCTAAGCAAAAGGAAAGAATGTACATACCACCCGATGTGGAAGAAATAAGTATATTGTCAATGCTCATAGAACTCATAAACTTTATAAACCACAATAAGGACAATTTGCCCCATGAAGGTTAGAATGTGTTTGTGACTTTAACTAAGTATCACTATCCCACACTACTGTGAAATTTGTGAAATTTATGTAATCACTTAATCACAATAAAATAATTGCAAAATACAGCACTAAAGTGATACTTCATCTGGATATGTCAAGATTAAATGAGATAATCAATGTAAATCCTCTGAACAGTAAATAGTGTATGCTATTGTCAGCACCTGTCACATGAAAACAAAGCAACAATGCCAAAGGATGTTTCAATAGGATGCCTATTATTACATTAATTATAGGGCAAACAGAGACATCTGAAAGGATCTGAATATCCTTCAGATAAACGATGGCTTATTCAATTATTCATTTCTATGCAAGTATAGAAAGAATGACTTCATTGCTCTAAGTTTTGACCTAAATGATTTTCAGATATTTAGCTCACACAAAATCGAATGACCACAGCTCATTATTCTTACTAGAACTGTAGTTTGTAGCAACCAGAAGCACAAATGTGAATATGGAAGTTTTTAACTATTGATCTAGAGTCAAGTATGCAAAGACATGGACTGGGCAGTTGACATGCATATACACATAGTAGTTTATAAGAGTAGAGGAAAGTATGGTAGAAATAAATCCTTGCATAGGTACTGGTTACTTTAGCAGAGCCTAGATTAGTAACTTTCGTTTGTACATGTCTCCAATGTGTTGCTTGTATTGCTTTCAGACAATGAAAAAATACACAATATAGCATGAACAATGAAAAATTTATGAAAAAAAATAGAAGAGTCAAGTGCCCAAAGTGGATTAATTAGTGTTTAATTAGGAGTGGTTCAGTCTATTCATTGTTTGTGGGGCAAAGAAATAGAATAATAAGGACAAACAAGTTCCTTATTAACAGTTCCATTATTAGAGAAGCAGTAAAAGCAAATTCATTTCTGGACTATTCTGAATGGTTGATGAGAATCTAGATAAAACATATTATATTGCATGTTTTGTTGCCTGGATTAGACTGGATATCTACAATAGTGAAGACTCATTCCAGTAATCTCATTTGAGTATAGTCGTTTTGTACTTAGAAAGGTGATAATGCAAAGAGTCCTTGGAATCCCTGGAGAATTAATTAATTTCAACACAGGAAGATTCCAAGTTATAAAAGCAACGCTAATAATCCTCAGCAAGTTAGATTTAATGAGGCCATTTCTCCTGGAAAACAAGTCTTAGACATATATTTTAGTGCAAATATCTTGGAAATAAAAGATAGTCAATGCACAGTTCCAGCTGAAATTCAAGAAATAGTTTTGCAATGAAAAGCAGCTTAGAGGAATTGAAAGATTTTTTTCTGTAACTTGTTTTAAGAACTCTTGTTTTTTTTAAAGAGTAAACATTGCCTTTGTTTTATATAACATACAGATTTGTGGTAAGAAGATACTGAGTGCCATAACTGAATATTCTCTGTAAGTGAATAGATGCTTTCAAATTCCATGTACAGTACCTGCAAGACTCTTTGCCATGATAGTTGTAAAAACCAGTCCACATCCTTTTGGATTTGGAATGTGGCTACATGGAAAATTGTGGCTACTTCTACTATGTATATTTTAACAATTTCTCTAGCCAGACATAATTATTAATTTGAAATAGAGAAAAGATTGAGTTCAAAACTAGTAATAATATTCTCTTGGTCCCACATTTTACACACTTATTTATGTGCAAACATTTTTATATTTAATAATGACTCAAATTTGGGAGAGTCTTCAATGAACTTGTGAATGAAATGAGTATCTACTATATAACCAATCAATATTATCTCAACTGTATTTCCTGTTTCTCAGTTTCGAATATTATCTCTGACAGTGCCTATCAAATAGTAGGCATGTAGTAATTTCTATGACTTAACAATATGTGAGTGAGGCAAAAATAAAATGTTCTTTAAATTGATTTGTTCATTTTGAAGAAATTTGACTGTGTTCTTTGAATCTCAGTTGTGTGATTTCAGAAGCTTAGTACCATTACTTTAAGCAATTTTTGGGAATTGTTTTACATTAATTGAAATTATTATTATTGTAATTTTTGACAAAACATGGCTTCAACTTAAGGACTTACATTCTTGCTCACAACTGGTACACTACCACTTGAGCCTTGCCTTTTGTCCAGCATTTTGTTGGTAAATTACAGAGAGAGAGCCTCACAGACCTTTTCTGCCAGGCTGGCATTGAACCATGAATCCTTCAGGTATTCAAGTCTTCTGAGAAACTAGAATTATAGAGGTGACATACTAGCACATGGCTTGGAATCTTTACCTTCTTTTTCTTCTTCTCCTCCTCCTTCTCCTCTTCCTCCTCCTCCTCCTTCTCCCCCTCCCCCTCCCCCCACCCCCTCTTCCTTCTCCTCCTCCTCCTCCTCCTCCTCCTCCTCCTCCTCCTCCTCCTCCTCCTCCTCCTCCTCCTCCTCCTCCTCCTCCTCCTCCTCCTCCTCTTCTTCTTCTTCTTCTTCTTCTTCTTCCTCTTCTTCTTCCTCTTCTTCTTCCTCTTCTTCTTCTTCCTCTTCCTCTTCTTTTCTCATGCTGGTCATGGGGCTTGAATAAGGGCTTGGGCACTGTCCCTGAGCTCTTTTACGTGAGTCTAGCACTACCACTTAAGCCATAGCTCCACTTCTGGCTTTTTGGTTAATTGATGGTAAGAGTCTCACAGAGTTTTCTGTCCAGGCTGGCTTTGAACCATCATCCTCAAATCTCAGCCTCCTGAACAGCTAGGATTATAGGCATGAGCTACCAGCACCCAACTGCAATTATGTCTTTTAAGTTTTATAGGCTATGATAAGAATTTCTCATGGAAGAAAGCCTATAAATAATTAACACTGGTAAATTAACATGGCTCATGGCCTTAGTATTCTGGTTTACTGGAGGAAAGACCAAGTTCACACCAGATTACTGATGGACTACCAGAAATTAAGCAATATCAAAAGAATCTCATCAGTATTTGATTTTTCCCCCTAAGTTGCATATCTACCCATTGTACTTAAGAAATGTACTATTTAATAGTATTTTAAATAGTATTTAATAGTATTTTAACACACTAGTATTTAATAATATTTTC